GCCAGGTCCCTGTCCCATGGCTCCTCATCCCCAGACCTCCTCCTACAGCCATGCCCCGGTCCCATGGCCCACCTCCAAGTCGTACCCACGATTCCTGCCCCGTGGCCCATCTCCAACCCTTACCCTATACCTTTACCTACTATCCCTGCCCCATGGCCCGTCTCCAAGCCTTTCCCCTTCCCCTACAGCTGTGTCCACTGCCCCATGGCCACACCACTGCCCCACGGCTCATCTCCAAGCCTTACCCTACACCCTTACCCACGATTCTTGGCCCACGGCCACGTCGTTGCTCCATGGCCTATCTCCAACCCTTCTCCCACAGCCTTCCCAGTTGCCCCATGGCCATCTTGTTGCCCCTTGGCCCATCTTCAGCTCTTATCCTACAGTCATGTCCATTGCCCCATGGCCACACCACTGCCCCATGGCCCATCTCCAACCCTTACCCTACACCCTTTCCCACGATTCCCGACCCATGGCCACATTGTTGCCCCATGGTCCATCCCCAATCCCTCTCCTATAGCCATGCCCATTGCCCCATGGCTCCACCGCTGCCCCATGGCTCATCCCCAACTCTTATCCCACAGCTTTCCCAACAGCCCCATGGCCAATCCCCAGCCCTTACACCCTTTCCTGCAATTCCCGACCCACAGCCAGTTTTTTGCCCCATGGTCCATCTCCAACCCTTCTCCTATAGCCATGTCCATTGCCCCATGGCTCCACCACTGCCCCATGGCTCATCCCCAACCCTTATCCCACAGCTTTCCCAGCTGCCCCACGGCCATCTCCAACCATTACCCTACACCCTTACCCACCATCCCTGACCCATGGCTCATCCCCAACCCTTATCCCACAGCTTTCCCAACAGCCCCATGGCCAATCCCCAGCCCTTACACCCTTTCCTGCAATTCCCGACCCATGGCCATGTTGTCGCCCCACGGTCCATCTCCAACCCTTCTCCTATAGCCATGCCCATTGCCCCATGGCCACACCACTGCCCCATGGCTCATCCCCAACCCTTATTCCACAGCTTTCCCAGCCGCCCCACGGCCAAACCCCTGCCCCACAGCCCCTCTCCAACCCCCGCCCCACACGCCAAACCCCGCTTACTTGATCTTGCGGTCGAGGTGGTGGTGCAGAGAAGGGTCGAGGATGGGCTCACGCTCCGAGAGCGCCCGGGACCGCGGCGGGGAGCCCAGGGGGGCCTGCGGGGACGGGGAGCAACGGGATGAGGCTGGGGGAACGCGGGGCGCGGGGTGACACCCCCAAGGCAGCGAGGACCCCCCCCGTCTCCTTCCATCCCCCCCGGGGGACCCACCGGCAGGCCGGGGCAGAG